GACGTAAGTGTGGTAAGGAGGGAGCACAGGGGGCGGAGTGAATCGAGAATAAATTGCTTTGCCCACTTGCAGGGTCGCAGATGTGTTTTGGCCCAGAGGGATTGGGGTGGGGGGGGAGTCGTTCACTAAACCACGTAATTTAAAAGAAACCATTTCGCCGACATTCATTCGGAGTAATAGGATGCCCCTGACTTCGAAAGGCCCCACGGTGTAGACCATAGACCGGAAAGGGAAAATGAGAAAATTTTCATCCCTGTCTAACCTTGACTCTGGAAGAAATCTTGTAAACTTAGCTCATGACGATGGGTGCCCAACTGAGGTAATCAGTACACCGACTTTGGTAATCACCGATAATCCCCACACTCCTGGGGGACTTTTTAAAAGGCAGGTTTGTTGATTTAAGTCACGTCTTTTTGGTCAAATTTTGACCTAATACCAACGCGCATGTAGTGAATGCCAAAATCCTAACTTTGGTATAAGAAAAAAGTGCCTATTTCCACACGACTTCACTATCTACCCTAACTTAATCAGTGCGGCGCAAAATGTTTGGTTAAAACACTACTAAATAAATACAGGGTGGAGGGCTAGCTCCGCTAGAGTGACTTGGAATGCCTGCTAGACCGAGGCCGCATGCAAGTGTGCGGCTGAGCTTACCGACCGTAGCCATAGTGCGTTATGGCGACGAGAGCATAGGCAACCCGAACACACAGCTGCATGCGGGCTAGTATGCCTTATTCGCTCCGGCGCTCCGCCGGTGCCGGCCGACCACCCAGTACCGTCAGTCAGGGCCGCGACACAGAAGTGTTGCAAACTCGCAACATTGGCGTGTCATGGCCCTAACATACGGTACACACACGTGCCAAAGTGTCAAGTCAGTGTCAAAGAAGCCCAACCATACGAGCAACGCATTATCATTACAGTGAATCAAAGAGACAAGAAAAAAATCTTTGCTACGATGAAAGGAAAAATCACTAAGAAAACACTCTGAAAACTGTCAAACGTGGGAACACGAACGAAACGCAAACGGAAAGTACCATCACTTTCCTCTCCTACCATGCCGCTCTGCCGTCGGAAAGGCCGGAGGATGCTGACTGTGCGTCCCAGCTGCAGGTATGCTGTGGGGCGGGGAGGGCACCATCTCAGTCAAAGGAGAAGTACGAGCACAGCCCACCGAAAGTTGTTTGAGAGAGCCCGAGCATACGGGAATGCCGCATGTTGTGCGGGCAGGGAGCGAGGCACCTTCCTCTAACGCACTCATGCTTTTCAGGTCTCAGATTTCGCTCAAACTCGGAAAATATGAATATTTTCCATAGAGAAGTCGGATAGCACTTGACATTTTTCCTAAACCTGATAATTAGCAGGTGTACACTCGATTACACTTAAGCCATACACTGCTTTTTGTCCAAAATATCCATCCATCGCCTAAACGTAAAAGATAGAGCGAAACGGACAATAATTAGGCACAAAGGGCGCTACTTTGACGAGTTCCCCTTACTCGAAGGTTTCAAATAAACCGGATCAAGGCGGATCAAGTGTATCCGAGTGTATCGACGCCCCTACACCGTAGAAAGGCTGTTCTCGTTGTGATGTTTACGAAAAATTTCAAGTGCCATCTGACTTCCACGTAGATAAACGTCAAATTTTCTAAACTTCATCAAAATAAGAGATTTACACCTGAAAAGGTTCCCTTGTTAGACCGGTCTCGTTCCCACACCTGCTCCGTGGTCGCCTTGTCCGCGATTCGTCAGATCGGCTGCCCACTCTACAAGTACCTCTGCGATCACCTGGGCGAGTACCTGTCCCCGGCGTAGCGCTCCTCGTCCAGGCTGATCCTCGTCAGTCCGTCTCGCGCCTCGTGGATGCGCGCATCCAGGATGTGGAATGACATGGGCTGCTGCCCGTCATCCTCCGTGTCCTCGGTGGCCGTCGTCGTGTCCTGGAAGCCATCGTCGATGCCCTCATCGTCGAGGTACGTGACGCGCCGCTGCCTGCGGCGCCCTGGGTCGCGCGGGTGGAAGGCGTCTCGGTCGAGCTGAAGCAGAGCGGACAAGATTCTGAGGAGAGCTGGCTGCCACAACCACGCAGGCAGGGCAGGCCCCGGGGAGGTGCCCCTACCTTGTACTCGTCGCGGGGGTGTACGACGAAGGCGCGCTGGTACTCCGGGTCGTCTAGAAGCGACTCGCCGCCGGAGCGCCGGCCGAACCCGTCCTCGCCGTCGGGGAGCTGAAGGAAATCCATCCCACCCAGCCTCCGGGGAACGGTCCGGGAGCGGGGCAACGGCGGCGGCGGCTCGTCCAGCGGGGACCTGCTCTGCAGCCTGCGGCGAGGGGTGCACGGCGACCGGTGGATGTCGTTCCGGAAATCCGGATCCCGTCCGTTGGAGGCGTGCGGAAGGCACTGCTCAAACCGGAACGCATAGTCTCTCTCTGGCTTCTGCGTGAGCGGCCTGTTCCGCGGGAAGTCCAGGTACCAGTCTTTGTACTCGGAGTGCGGGTTGTCAGGGCCTCGAGGGGAGGGTCCTCCGCCTCCTCCACCTCCTCCTCCTCCACCGCCTCCTCCACCGCCTCCTCCTCCTCCACCGCCTCCTCCTCCTCCACCGCCACCTCCTCTCCCGCCGTCGCCACCGTTGTCCCTGGGGGTGGCGGCCGGAGCGGCCGGAGCACTGACCTGGGGCACTTCAGACCCGGCTCTGTCGGGCATGACCACGGTCGCAGGGTTGGCCGTGGCGGCCGCTACGTCGCCACCGCCGCTCATGGTGCCGCCCAGCGTGACGTGGGGCTCTGGCCTGCAGGGCAGCCATAACGAGAACAAAAGAGATTTTCACAACGAATATCTGCATCACATTTTTCTGTGATGGAGAAAAGCCGCATACAAAGTGGCGTTTTACATAGCCCAGCCGGTGGGCATTCCCTCCCATGCAGGTTTCTTTTTTTTTCCACCCGACATTTACTACCCTGTGTTTTCACTGCTCTACTTCAAGTTAGTCTGAATGTTGTTACTGCCAACTTTTCTAGAAACTTGTGGCTCTCTGTTTCTACCTCGCCTCGTTTTCAGTTTTTTGCGACAGCGTGCAGCGCTCACCTTCGAATGACAGCCCTGACGTTGTCGTACTCCTTGAACGCGGCGCGGTACTCGGGGTCGCCGTTCATGGGCTGGCCGTGCTCGATGCGCATGTTGGTGGGGTGGCGCACGATGGGCGGCCTGCGGTGGGAGCCGGCCCGAGCAGCTCCCCCTCCCTGCAGGTGGAAGTCGACGTAGCTGGCGCTCTTCTCCGTCTCCAGGACCATCTCGCCCTGGGAGAAGGGAAGGGGAACGCCAACTGGCACTAGCACGCACGTTCGGGGTGGCAGTAGGAACAACGCCGCAGCCAATCGGACCGATGGTCGGACATGGCTGTCAGCTCCGTTCATATTGATCCTCACCTGGGCGGGCATCAGGTTCGGCCTGGGACGAATGAGGGACGGGCGCTGGGCGTTGCGCACTTCGACGAAGGCGTCTCGGTACTCGGGCACGGCGCTCAGCTCGCCCTCCATCCTGCGGAGCACACGGGAAGGCAAAGGGAGCTAGAGTGCCTTTAGCAGGGGTGTCCATGCGTGACGTATACAAGTACCTCAAGTTTGTCGAGTGACGTTTCGCCAGCGGGCGCGGCCTAGCGTCGTAGTAACCGGTGAACTGCGACTGGCTCTCGGACTGGGAGCCGTGTCCGGGGGGGCCGAGTGCTGGGGCGGGAACCTCGGCGGCAGGCATGGCGCGGGTGGCCGCAGGCTCCGCAGGCCCGCCGTTAAGGATGTGGTGGTCCCTCGGGCGGATGAGGTGCGGAGGCCGCAGTGGAGGGTGGCCTTGGAAGCGGTCCCTGTATTCGGGCACGACCTGAAAGTGAGGCGCGAAGCACGCGGTGCGGTGCATCAGTTAGCCGCTTCGAACCCTGCACTGCTCAGACGGTGCGGGTCAGGGGTCAGGTACCTGCAACTCCCCCTCGAGTTTGAGGTTGGTAGGGCGCTTGGCGAGGCGCTTGCTGCTGTGGGGAAGGTGCGAGAAGTCCAGCGGCAGGAAGCTCTCGCTGTGCTCAGTCGGCATGGACTGCAGGGCGGCGTGATAGCTCCCGAGGTCATCCGCTCCGAGTCCTAGCGCGCCGGCGAGGAGGTTGTCGGGGCGACGGGCTAGCTCGGGGCGTCGAGGTGCGGGCTCTGCGGTCGGAAAGCGTATTCACTTCCGCGTCCAAGTTTGAGACCTCTCCGCCTCCCCGTGGGACGTACCGCTGAGCGGTGCATAGGCGGCGTGCGTCTCCGAGTCGTTCTCGGGATTGGCGCCGTGTCCGAGGCTGTGGCGGAGCGCGGTGGCCCTGCGCGCCAGTGGCGGTCTGAAGGGACCACTCGCGGCCGGCGGCGGGACGAACTGGCTGTGGCTCTCCGTCAGCGACTCGAGTGGCGGGCCCTCCAGCAGGCCCTGTCCAGCGCCACCCCCGTCGCCTCCGCCGCCCCCGGCACCCCTGAGCCCCAGCCGCAGGGTCGTCGGGCGGCGGAGAGGGGGCGGCCGCGGGGGCGGGGGTGGGAACGGCCACACGAACTGCGCATGCCCCTCGGACACGTAGCCCGGCGGGGCGGGCGGGCCGTGGGTCGCACTAGTCTGCATCGCCAATGGCACCACCTGGGAACAAATTGCATGGCGTGTTGACCCTGGTCAGGGCCCTGGTCAGGGCCCTGGTCAGGGCGCTCCTTGCCCCGACAGGGCACCTCCACCACCGGCACGACCTCGAGGCCTCGGGCTGGCTAATGCATTGCATTAGAGGCGGATGGGCTGGGCGGCTTGGGGCGTCTACGACGCCGCGCTAATGGAGTTTCCGTTTCATTCTTTTGCGCTTCTAATTTATTTCTAATCGCGGGACAGAAAATCCTTAAAATCAATCACTGCCCTGCCGTGCCCTGCGCTGGTCCGCTGTTCGCTCCAAGGCCCCCTGCCTGCATGTATGTGTTTGCGTTTGGCCGGGCAGGCGATTGCGTTACGGCCCGATGGTCAAGGCGGCCCTAGTCCGGCCGGTCAAGGTCGCCCCCGGCCCTATAGTGGGCGCGTGGCGGCGGCAGCCGTGGACTCCCGTCCGAGAAGCGCACACTGTACCACCCTGCGGGCCTGCGGGCCTGCGGGCACCTGGACTGCACTGGGACATATGGCCCGCGTTTGCGCTGGGAAACGCTGTTCCAGTCCAGTCACGGGGAACATCCTTCAACCCTGCTAATCGCTCTCTGACTGCAGCCCTCTTACGGCCGGGCCGGCCCACCCCAAGTGGCGCGGGCGACCCTGGGCTGTCGGACCCCCGGGGGGCAATCATTCGTCTGCCGAGGGGGAAAATTTCAGGGGGCCACCGTCGTCGTGAACGCGACTCGCGAGGCGGAATGGGACGCGGAAGTGAGGGGGGAAGTTAGGG